ATATATATATATATATATATATCACTATTTATATTAGGCTAGTAACTTTGATCACAACATTTTACTCCTTGACCTTATTTCTTTTGTTATGTTTCAGCCTCAGGAAAGATGACTGCTATCAATCAGAAAGAGTATCTTAAAAAGTATTTATCAGGTGGTGATGCCTCACAGAAGAAGAAAAAGAAGAAGAAGAGGAAAGATAATACTCCTATCACCAATAGGTATAGTAACCTATTAACAATTTTAATGTTTTAAAAAGTATACTATTAACTATCTTACTATGTTGAATGTTCAAGACCTAAGTAAATGACATTCCTAGTATTTGACACAATAATTGTTTAAATTGGAAAATATCTAGCTGATCTAGGTACCTACCCTTAGGACTGGCTAGGCTGCAACTAGAGCATTCCTGCCAATTTTGGAATTGTGAGATACTGAGATTCCCACTAGATGATTCACCTTCTATTTGTTAACTAAAGTGTAATATTGGGCCGCAAAATTTCAAAGATATTGAAAATTTGTGACGTTGGAGCTACTAAATTTCATAAATGTGTGGGATTCCATTCCAATTCAGCAATTGCACTATCAAATTCTACTCATGATTATGGTGGTACAGACTGCAAGTTAAATGACTTAAACTCATTATGTAGCTACCAACTTTACTGACTGTCAATGCTGATAATCTAGCGTAGAAAAAAGTCTTATCTGTAGAGGTAGAGAGAGCTTTCCTCACTAGAGCTTTCCTCACATTTTCAGAACTGCAAGTTGCCACTTATTCAGGATTGGAATTTTTCTACTCATTTCTGAAATCTCCTGGCTTCAATGCGAGAAATTTTTTATACATTTGTAAACTCACAGCCCAATTGTGCACTTTTGTCAACAATTAGATAGGAGGTAATTCAGATAATTAGATAAGAGATAATTTGGCAGAAATCTCGTGGTTCAGGAAATGACGGGAAAGCTCTAGTCGGGGCCCTAATGGTATATTTTTCCCACACTTGTCCCACTAGAAGTTTTACTGTTACCAGGGTTGGCGATTTTTTTTATTTTTTTAAAAAAATCAAAAAAATAAAAAATCAATGATTTTTTTTTATTTTTTCATGATTTTTTTGATTTATTTGATTTTTTCAGCTTTTTTGTATTTTTTGAGGTGTTATTTTTTATGTTACAATTAGCCTACTAACAATAACAGTATATGGATCATAATGGATGGCTAAAAAGGGCACTTATTGCCTCCAATAATGGCCAACAGGCCAAGGTGGTGTTTACCACTTAGGGATTTTCGGGTAAACAATACTGTTACTGTTGATCAATGCATATGTTTCTACCAAAAGTTTCCAAATGTATTGAATATTTCTCCTGTCAGACTCATAGCCACAAAATTTCAGAAACAAGTACAAAATTCCAAACCAGCCAATAACCATGCCAGCAACACTTGAGTGACTGGCTTTTAGTAGAAATGATCTTTTTGATCTATTTTACTTTTTAGGGGTAGAACTGAATCACATCTTTGATCTTTCTAGAATGATCGAAGCAGCTTTTTAGTCATTATGTAGTTACGGTATCAAATATTATATTGTTTATATGACTACTTGGCAGTGTTGTGTATATGATTTTTATTGATCAGCAGCAAGATATGTGCAGGTTCTGCTGAGTGGCAACTTATGTGGCATATTGATGTTGGTCTGCTTTTGCTGTTATCCAATTCATATATATTATGTCTTGCAAAAAGATTGTTACACATGCAATTTTTGTGAAATTCTGCTGGGTATTCCATATTGGGATTCTAGTATGGCCAGATGAATAGATATTTCCATGCCTTGTAAGATGCAAGGTTTTTGGGGAATTTTTTTGTGCAAAATGAGCTTTCTGGAGCAAATGTAGTGTGTAGGGTGATGCAGTTTGTGCAGGGTCAATAATGAACAGTCCCAATTTGTGCAGAACAATCTTTTTCAACACCTGATCTTTTTAACTAGGTACTTGCTGTACTGCTGTAGACATGACTGAAAGTTAAATAATATACGTTTAAAAATTACTTTCTAAAGACAACACCCAAAGAATCCAGTGTGTGCAATCTTACATGTACAATGAATTTCTCATTTAATTTTTGAATATTAAAAAAATTAATTTTTCAATTTTTTTAATACTATATTAATTTTTTAATATATAATTTTATTTTCAAAATTATTTATTCCATTAATTGATTCATGCATTGCCTCTGACTTCACACAAGTGTGCAAAATTTTAGATCAATTAGACAGGTAAAAGTGTGTCAAATATCAGTTATAAGATTTGTAGCTGACAAAATTATTTTTTTAATTTTTAAAGTCATTTATTTTGACATTTGATTCATGCATTGTCTCCAACTGTACACAAGTGTGCAAAATTTCAGATCGATAGGATAAGTAGAAGTGTGTTAAATTTTGATTACAAGATTTGTAGCAGACAAACAAACAAACAAACAAACAACAAGAAGTGAAGTTAAAGAGAAGTGTTGTAAAATGTATCACAAAAATGCCAAAAAGATGCTAAAGTTACCATCTAAAATTCATTCAAGTCCAATATGTTAGCTTTAACATTACTCCCTACAGCATTTCCTGGACTGAGAAAACTTAAAACACTCTATTCTAGCATGGATTTGGGAGAATTTTCTCCACCTTCAATGGAACCAACATGACAACAATGGAGCAAGACTTAACAGATTGAAATTCTCTGTCATTTCACTTGGTTACCATTTTGTTCTTAAGCCAGCTTGTGCCTATATTTGGTGAGAGGACTTGCCATGCAACAAGATGAGGGTTGAGACATTGCTCAGCATTGAATTCAGTTTTGGGGAAACTTTGGGATCTATAATCTGTATGTGTCTGGAATGTCTGCTTTCCTTATGATGGCAACAAAATTTTGTTCAGCATTCCATGATGAAACTTAAGCAATAATTTTGTTATTCAAAATTATTTGATAATCTTCTCCAATCAAAACAAATTCCTACACAAATACCAAATCTGCGAAACTGAATTATGCATGATGGGTTTATGGATGGTGGAATTAGGTCATACAGGATTATAAATTGTGGGATTAGGGAAGATGGGATAATTGAAAACATGCATCTCATATTGAATGAATTATCCATGTCAAGCTATACAACTTAATAATACAAGGCACCTCCCTGGTGGTGATGCGAGACAAGAATTTGAAAACCCCAATATATTCTGCCATAGGTTCTTTCAAAACATAGGTAGGTTGAGCAATTTTAAAAATCCTAGGTTTTATTTATTCATTTTTTTTGTAATATTGATTAAGAGCTTTTAATGCAGACTAACATCTTCCATCATGACTGAAACTCAAATCTGCTCATGTTTTTAATAAATTTCAACTACGGTTACGAAGTCACGGTACCTAAGACTTGAATATTTATTTCATTATCTCATATCACCACCTATCAATTAAAAACGTGCTCTTTTCTCAAAGTACATTTCAAGTTAAATTTCTTTCCACCAATTGCTGAAATTTGATGCATGATTTTCATAAATTAGGTATCCTAATGCATCTCTGTTGAAAGTGAGCACCTAAGCATGAATACAATAGAAATAAAAAATAACACTTTGTGAGTTTGATCTCTTAAAAAGCATAGATACATTAGTGTTCAGTATTTCTCTTGCTCATTAAATTGAATAATTTATGTATTTTTTCAGGTTTCAAATTGTTGACGAGGATGCAGGGAACATCAAGAATATTGCCTTTGGTTACGCCGATGACGACGACGCGCCTACAGTCGCCGAGGTCACCTATGACTATGCCAAAACAAAATTCAGAGAAGAACACAAAAAACTTGAACATAAATGGAAAAATGCCTCGTCTGATATAGATGGCGCCTCAAATAATCGAGCACATGTTGCACAAGATCCGGTCAGAGATGCTAAAGTTATGAGGTACGATTCAGATGAAGACGAAGCACCATCTTCTGTAACTAAATTGAGTAGAAGGTACGATTCTGACGAGTCTCCTCCGAGAGCCCGCATGTCTTCTGGAGTTCAAAGAAAAGATTTTGCATTGCATGGAGCTAAACGACTTGATTCAGATGAATCTCCTCCGAGAAGAAACGACCTAGATTCTGATAAGTCTTCAAAGAAGAAAAGACATGATTCAGATGAATCTCCTCCGAGGAGAAACAACCTAGATTCTGATGAGTCTTCAAAGCAAAAAAGATATGATTCAGATGAATCTCCTCCGAGGAGAAGAGAGAAAAATTTCGAAGAATCGCCACGTAGAACAGGCAAGTTAGATTCGGATGAATCTCCTCCTCGGATGAGTAATGTTGCAGCTAACGAACGCCCTGAGAAAAAGCTCACAACAGCAGAGTATTTGCAAGCGAGAAAACGTGGCAAACATAAGAAGGATAGTGCTGAGGATATTGCTAGGAAACAGAGGGAGGAAGTCCTGCAGCGTGCTGCTGAAGAGCGACACAAACTCTGGAACAAAGGCATTACTCAAGTGGAGGAGCGACAGAACAAGCTGGCCGACATCCAACACGAAATGACTAAAAGCTTTGCGCGATCTGCCAAAGATGAGGACCTGAATGACATGTACAAATCGAGACCACGAGAGGGAGACACTATGCTGGAGTATCTTAGTAGTAAGAGAGATGGGAAAAATCCCCAAAAACCTACATATCAAGGGCCCTTCCCTGCCAACAGGTTCAATCTTAGGCCAGGTTATCGTTGGGACGGCGTCGACAGATCTAATGGATTCGAACAACAATACTTTGCAAAACTTAGTAGCCAAGTTGCAATAGAAGAAGATGCCTACAAATATTGCGCTGAAGATATGTAAAGGAATAAAAACTCAATTATTAAACTCTACATCTCCTAATAAAATTCTAATGAATAGTATTACTTGTTTCGAGTTTTGGTTCCCCTGCATTTTCGTGCGTGCCAGAAGTTCATTGAGGGACAATGAAGTTCGATGGAAGCTTATTTGATATATACTCATCACCGATCTTCCTTAAATATTACGTTCACAATCGTTGCAAAGTTTTAACACTCATTTACAAGCAAAAATCATTGTAAATATCTGAAAGACGTGAAATCATAGCCTAAGGAACACTTCTTGCTTCATATCATTCATACGACTCGGTAGGTAAGCTAGACATGACTGCCCGTCTTAAAGTAATGACACGCTGAGAAGATGGAGACCACTGCCACTGGTCATTGATGGACTGATATCAGACCGTGCCATTACATCGTCCGTAGCTAGAAGCGCGATAGGTCACATTGGCGAGGTCAAAACCATTTTTTCAGGCTCTTGCAATATAAGAATCTGATGCAACTAAATCTTATTCATTAGAATAAAATCTCCTGATGAGAATATGTCGGAATTTTTAATTTAAATAACAAAAGGAAAAATCCCCACGAGCAGTTAGGAGCATGAACACATCTAATATACATCTAAAATATTGGGCGAAATAGAATATTTCTCCGACTTTAAATCCATGTACGAAAATGTCAATAATTTGATAGAAATTTAGGGGAAATCTAATTGCTTCAAATAAAATTATCTCAGTATGAGTACTATGATATCTCACGGTACTATGAAAACAATACAAGGCTTTAATATGGGTAATATTAACCTATGTTGCAAGGTGAGGTGAACACAGCAACACCTGGAGGAGGAATGGCAAATTTATCAGAGGCTCAAGTTCATTTTCCTCATGACTAGTCAACAAATTAATGCAAAAAATGAACTAAAATAAACCTAAATAACGCACAAATACGAAGCCGAAGCCCTGAAGAATTAAGCAGTTGAAGAATAGAACAAGAACTAAGAATGAACACGCCAACGACTAGTGACTAGTATAATTTGTCTTTATAATCTGACCTGGTGAGCTACTGTAAATGAAATTATATTTATGGTGCATACACCTTTAATAATCCTACCTTGAAATGTCAACCATATGCGAGAACCCTCAGCAAGTGAGGTCAAGTCTCCTTTAATAAAGTCTCCTTGTAATAATAAAGTCTCCTTGTAATAATAAAGTCTCCTTGTAAATGACAGCTGACTGAAGAAATCGAAGCAAATCAATATTTTTACTTGTAAGTATTCTTACACTGAAAAAGTGCAGCTAAGTCTACGCATGAAAAGAATTGCTCTCGTAGTCACCGTGCATCGAGCTAACAACTACCCTCTACCGCCTGACATGAGTAACCGGAGTAATATTGTCACAAGCCTACTCCCCAAAAAGGATACGTTCTAGTGAACGCAAAATGACTTGCACTGATGGTTGTCGCCACTTACTACAAACCTTAAAATGTTCGATGTTGCGTACAAACGTGCTCAGGTTGCTACACTCAATAGTTTTATAATTTAAGTTGAAAATTATGTTCCGAGAGAGTGACATACGGCGGTAGAGGGTTAAGGAGACACATGAATTACAACATTGAAGTGCATACACTAGAATATAAACTGGGGGTGTGTGCACAGCAACGAACACATAATCACACCTAATCACTGTCTTGGCACCTTAAAAATACAAGAGTACTCTGTACATGACTTAGATATAGTGTAGCACGTTCCATTCTCTGGGAAATACAAATATGAAGACATAAGAATACCATAGAAGAGAGTATAGTAAACTGAAAAAGAATACCTACAACTGACGGAGATAAATCATGGATGTACTCTGTTCCTTCTTGACGACAAAGCATAATAGCTATAGGAGGGCTGGAGGGAGTGGCGAAATGAAACGCTAATGTCGTTGAATGAGATACAAGATGACAGCAGCTAGAGGACTGGCGTGTGGCGGGAGTGGCGAGGGGTGGGAGTGGCACGTGGCGAGAGTTGCTGGAAATGGAAGTGGCACGTGGCGAGAGTTGCTGGAAATGGAAGAGGCAGGTGGCGAGAGTTACATCAGGTGGGAGTGGCAGGTGGCGGGTCACAAGAGGTGGCAGTGGCAGGTGGCGGGAGTCACAAGAGGTGGCAGTGGCAGGTGGCGAGAGTTGATGGAAATGGAAGAGGCAGGTGGCGAGAGTTACATCAGGTTGGAGTGGCAGGTGGCGGGAGTCACAAGAGGTGGCAGTGGCAGGTGGCGGGAGTTACAGGAGGTGAGAGTGCTGACAGAGGAGGTGGGCGGCGGTGGCGGCGGCGGTGCGGACGGCGGGTTCCTGATCCTTCATGAGCATCACGAGTCCCGACGCGACGCCTGAGGCACCCTCGTCTCCTCCCCACCTCACCACTTCACCTGCACGCAATATTCCTTATAATATTTGCTATGAGTTAAGCTCTCTTTGCTCCAACCCAACAACAAAAAGATACGTTGAATAAATTTTCGTGAATTGAGCAAAAGAATTTGATTTGACTGAACACTTCTTTAATAATGTAGAAGAAATTTACCTGTTTGGCTGTATGGATAGAATTTCTTTTTCAATATTGAAAAGGAACTTAATAACTTAACTTTAATACTGATTTTTTCCTTTAAAAAGGAGCAAAACAGCACAGAATATGCTTCCAGTTGTGATTGTATTGTCACCAACCGTTGGCCGCAACACTTCAGTTTAGTCAGATAGCTCAAGGCGTACATGCCAACTAATATTTTCTTAGTTTATATGCTTGTGACTAAAAGTTTTTATTCACTTCAAACGGCTAAAATTCACGCAATACTTAACTACAATACACTGACCCGTGAGATGCGCAGCAGCGGCCCGCAGCTCAGGCTGGCGGCTGTGGTAATAAGAGCTCGCCGCTGCCAGCGTCAGGCTCAGATGTTCCCCCAGCCACGCGACCTGCGCCACACCACACACAGTTACGGGGGGAAATGGGACTAAGAGAACATTAACAGGAGATTTATGAAGGCGAAAAATGCGAGATAAGTATATGTAAGTTTGAATACATCACGTGTTTATTACTTGAAATTCACATCAATAGTAAAACTATTACTTCACATCTTCTAGCACCTCAATGACAGCCAAGGGCCTGCTTGTGTCAACTTGTCATCCCACTTATGGCTTGTGTAAGGCCATAAGAGGGATGTGTGCAGGAGAGGAGGGAAGCGTACCAGGAGGGGGGCGAGGGCGGCCAAGAAGCTCTTGTAGTCGAGGGAGGCGGCGGGACTGAGACGCGACTGCAGTAGTTCCTGCAGCGGCGCGCTGCTCACTCGGTGACTCAGCGCCAGCAGCGCACTCTTGCACATCTGGCAAGCACATTACTGCATTACTCAGCGCCAGCAGCGCACTCTTGCACATCTGGCAGGCACATTACTGCATTACTCAGCGCCAGCAGCGCACTCTTGCACTATGCTGGTTCAGCGTTACTTGAAATCATCTACAGACAATGTTGCCATTCCATTCAGATGAAAACTGTGTCTAAATCAGAACTGTGTTGGACGGCTGTGTTGGAGTGCTGCGCGGCGCGGAATCGATGACCGTGATTTGCACAAACGTCTGCGCGAAAAAAATATAATTAGATTGATTTCCACGAGAAATTTTCCCCGTTTATATGCATCTTCCTGAGTGTGGTATCTAGGCAGTGCGTCGAAGCAGCCCTCGGTCAAACGCCCGCGGGTCAAACGCTCCAGCCGAGTGCTAACCCAACCTAACCTAACCTGACTCGGCCAGTTGCACGGCTCTTTCGACCGACGGCCTGGTGGTGCACGGCAGGTTTTATGCGAGGCCGGAGGCATAGTGACAAACCAGAGATTTTTTAGAATCATGCAACACAATTAGTATAATGATATTTATAACATAAGATATTATATTGTTATATAATTGTACTATTATATGAGTTACGAATTCAGGGTTTGCACGAGGAGAGTAGAAATAGTTTTTTGTCAGAAGTTATTTTCAAGCATCAGGTTAACATTTAGCTGATCTTTGTTGTATTTTCAAGATGCACAGCTGGAGTCGACCATGATACGGTAAAGGTAAATACTTAATATTTAATCAAAGCAATATTAGTTTTATATAACCCTGTAGCCGTCAGCGTTGCAAGATTTGCAACGAAGGCTTTATTCAAAATTCCTGAAGGACAGCTGAATACCGAGCAGTTGCTTGCATTACCATCACTACTGCAGTTGTGGTGCAGCGAACTGTAACCATTCACTGCCACACCTCCTTCATGGTGGTGCTCTTCAAGTGACAGTTTTTGGGAGGTATTTAGAGAATAGATCTTTCAACTCCTTTGCCATCGTCTCAGATGCGGGCCAAAGTAAGGAAAAGAACAATAAACACGATTCCTACCGTCACGTTCGGGAACCACCTCAGCATATTGTTTAGACAAACTCCGAAAACTTTTTTGGACTCCGAAACGTTTTCTCTTATTAGAAATGGTAAAATTTTTGGCTATTTTCTTTACTTTTAAATTCCTGGTAAATTTGTGATGATATTGTGGTGATATTGTGATGATATTGTGGTAATATTGTGATGATACTGTGGTGATATTGTGATGAAAGTTTGAAGATATTGTGATGATGTTATTGTTGTGATGATGTGGTGATATTGTGGTGATGTTATTGTTGTGGTTATATTGTTGTGATGATGTGACGATATTGTGGTGATGATTTTGTTATAATATTATGGTGATATTGTTGTGATGATACTGTTGCGATGTTATTGTTGTGATGATATTGTGGTGAAGTTATTGATGATATTGTGGTGAGGTTATTGATGATATTGTTGTGATGTTATTGTAGTGATGATATTGTGGTGAAGTTATTGATGATATTGTTGTGATGTTATTGTAGTGATGATATTGTGGTTAAGTTATTGATGATATTGCTGTAATGTTATTGTTGTGATGATATTGTGGTGAAGTTATTGATGATATTGTTGTGATGTTATTGTAGTGATGATATTGTGATTAAGTTATTGATGATATTGTGGTTAAGTTATTGATGATATTGCTGTAATGTTATTGTAGTGATGATATTGTGGTGAAGTAATTGATGATATTGTTGTGATGTTATTGTAGTGATGATATTGTGGTTAAGTTATTGATGATATTGTGGTTAAGTTATTGAT